CAAAAGCGCGTTCGTGAAGTTTACCTACGTGAGCGTACTTACAAGTACGCGCGCGCTTAACCTGACATAACGGTGCATCGACGACGCACACACGGCGTGTCACAAAAAGTCGCGTACGCGTGCCGTATAACGTGGATGCGATTATATCGCCCCCTTGTCCCCTTTCCCTCTCCGGCCCACCGTAACATCGACATCCGAGAACGTTCATCAGCGCTCCATGAATTTTAGCGCGAGAGAATTTTAGCAAAAGGCGGAATCCCCAGCGTCGTCGCGGTGAATAATCGACGTGCCTTGTAGGCGGATAGCGCGCGGAGGCGCGTTTTCCACTTTGAGTCGCCGAAGTGGACCGCGCGGCAACACGCGAGATCCCGTTAACCACTTTGCGAAATAAAGGAGGACGCTATCAATTCATGCCGAACGCACCTTTCGCACGCCGGTACTGTGCAGATAGCGCGCTAGAATTGCTCGTTTAAGGATTAAATTCCACACGCCGCCGCCTAGCTGCGCGCTGCATCCGCGTGAGCGCATCCCTAATAGATTCTTCGACGTTGCGCCGACATTTATGAAACCCACGAGCTCCTCCGCCGGCGATGCGCGCAGCGCAGCGCAACGCAGCGCAACGAAAACGCAGACGAAGACGACGTTCTACACGTTCCGCCACCCCGCTGTGATTTAGCGACTGCGGCTTTCGGTTTTGCGGGTGGCGATAAAGGCCGCGAGTTAGCCCGTAAATTAACCACCGGCTCTCTCGCCGCACACGCACGCTCGTTCTTCACCCGTTGTGCCGCGTGTGCATCGCCGGACGTAACTTCTCGCGATAATGTAACTTCATGTGTCACAATAATACGCGTGCAATTTGATAGTATTCATAGAAACTAGAGAGGGCGATGTCGGGTAAGAGTTACAGCGTAAGAAACCGTCTACTAATGTTATTCCCGGAATTGCACACGCCTCGATTGATTTGTTATCTCACTGCTTGCCGTATTATGTCATATCGTTATATTTTTATCGCGCGACTTCTACGACACGTTTGATCGAGCGTATCAGGATGCGACGCGTCGCGTACGCGTTCGTCGGAATGAGATCGATAAGACGTTGCACTCCGCGGGTCACTCGCTCTAGACGAACAGTTTCCGCGGACACGGAGAGCGACATGCACACACGACAGGCGCCGTCGATTTAAACTCTGGCATTTTCGAACACGGTGCATGCACAACACACGCGCGCGTGCAGCGTGCACGCGGCGCCGGTGACGTGGGGCGTGTTGCCGCCCGAGGCGAGACGCGCAAACGAGGAGCGCGTGCATCGCATCGTCGGGAAACGCGAGACGATGACATTTCGCAGTCACCTTTTGTAAATCGTAATCCGCGATCGTCGCCGTCGGCGCACGGATCCGTCTTTCGCCCCCTTATGAGAGCCGCTCCCGACGACTCCTTTCTCGCCCGCCGATCTCTCTTCATCGTGTGCGCTTGCTTTTTCCTTCTCAGACACAGATCAAAGAAGCCAATAAGAGCCCACGCACGATGTCGATTGCGAAATGACACTGAATTCACGAATGAATCGAGAAATGGAGGGGAGGGGAGCATTGAACACCCTGAAAAACCTATCAAACCTTCTTCGATATCTTTCGATATTTTCTTAGAGAAAGTTTGACTGGACGTTTGTTTTTCTTTAATTTTGAAGGTTGGTATTAAAACGCCGCGTGCGTGTAAGTTACTTGAGCTGCCAAGTTGAGGTTTCGTTATTGAATCGTGACTTTCAGTGTTGTACCACCTCGAAAACAATCTCAGGTCAGTTTTGGCCGGCTTATCGGTGGCGGTCCGTTGAGTTCTAAGTGGGCCTAACCCAACGTCGTTGGGTTTATATGAATGGGATGTTTTGTCGCTGCGGGCAATTGTTATGTCGTCGGCACGTTTGCGACGGACTATTTCCCACGATTATTTTCTCTGGAGCGCGCATGTCGGCGCGGCGGCGCTTGGGAAATTGGGATGTTCGGTGGTTGCGGATAGGCGCTCAATTTCTTTCAATTTAGATTCATGACTTCTCGAGTTAATTGCTCGATCTCGCAATTAGACGCATCCGATACCACTCAATCATTCTCCAACGTGTGAGAGTCTCATTAACCACAAAGTGGTATTGTCGAGAACTGATGTCCCCCCCCCGGTGTCTTTCGGGCGATGGAATGACAGGCTCGCAATTTTCGGCGAGACACGACGCTTTCACGACACACGCGAAACAGCTCCACGCAAGAAAGCGCGCGGAAATTTATCGGCCAGAAATCCCGCGGTCGGTCGTGAGTTTCCTACTGAATCCAGGCGACGTAGTCTCACAGACGCATAAATTCATCCAAGCCCATTCGGCTCGCTCGCGCAATGCCTGCTCATTAATTCGCGGCGGCGTAGGCTTATTTATCAAATACCAAAGCCCCGTGTCGCGTCGCGCCAAGATTTCCATTCAACGAAAGTCGAGCGCGCCGAAACGTCATTCCACGACGCGGCGCTATTCAGAGTTGCATCGCGCGGGGGGGAGGGAGCGGCACACAGCCCGCGAGTTTTCACTTGCGACACCGCGGCGAACCGCGGGGTGTACTTGTCCGTGCATTACTCGACGAGTCTCGCGCGTACAATGCTGCTGATGGAGATTTATATGACCGCTCTCGGGAGAAACAGCGGCCGGGCGACTCCAGAACGAAACACCGATACAACGTAGCTCGTCTGTTAATTACCGCACGGCTACTGCAAAAAGACGCCGCGGTAACTCTTATTTCTTGAGCCGCAGAGAGGGAGAATCGCTCGCGTACTCGATTGAAAACGACTTTTTGTAGGCGCGCGCGGGTAAACCGGATTATATTGGCCGACTGATCCGAATTGCATAATCGAGACACCGTCGCCCCCGTGGAAAGTATTGTGGCGGGATTTATCAGAACGCACGTAGGGGAGACCGGGGCTAAATGTCTTATATCTTAGGATTTTGAGGTTACGACTTCTCAAGCAAGTAATTGTGACTGACTATATAAACATGATAGAGGCAACCTCCTTCTACGTATTAATGGCCGCTACGACAGCGTTAACTGTATATTTTGTTTTTTAATAACCAAAACACGAACGTCCAGCAACATAGCCTTTTTGCCTTGATTCAATTGTTTAGTAGCGCAAGCTAAAGAAGGTCATAAAATATGCATCTTGATTACTAGTTCTAGAGTCTCCGTGAGAAGTCTCCACATTCCTTCTGCCTTAATTATGAGCCAACTTTATATTTCGTCCATCTATACGTTCTATTTCAATCATTTTATGAACGAAAATTGAAATAAAAATTTATTAAATAGAAGCAGTATATCGTACACTTGTAAGAAATTTCATTCTAGTTAGTAATACATTGCTTAATTTTATTCAGTCACAATGGAGAGTATTAATAGAAAATTCTGAAAGATTTGAAAATTTACTTTATTATTATCAAATCAGTTTCTTCTATTTCTTAACTGTAATATTATTTCGATAATTTAATAAAACTTGGGGAAAAATATTTATGTTTTGAAAAAACCATTTCGCGATTTTGTGTATCCACTATTTCTCTCTATAAATACTAAAAAAGGCACATGAGTGACGTACCATATAGTCCTAGTCTGCACTACATAGAGAAGATTGAACGACGAGTATGGGGAAAATCCGTTTTATTGTTAACGCGCGACACATCGTGAACGTGTTATTGCCTGGTGGCGCGGCGCGTTTTTGTTTATCGAATATTTATAATCGTGTTCGCGTCGCGAAATAGCGCCCGCGGATTTGCATACGCAACGGTATCTCGTGGACGTGGAAATATCGCGTGAGAAAACGAATCGAGGCCCCGTTAGTGGCGCAGCGCGTCGCAATCGCCGTACGATGAACATTAGCTTTCGTTGGGACAATAAATCACGTTCGACCTTGATTCGAGAGGAGGATGGCCGGATGCAAAAACGGAAGGAATCGGATAAACGCGAGTGGAAATTAGGTGCAAACGTAACAACTCGAGCGAATATGAGTCGCACTGTACTTTTGGAGGCGCGTGGGAATTGACACGTTGAATACCGCACGGGAAAAAAGTTGGAGTAATTGATTTTCTGTTGTCTGAGGATCGAATGAAAACTCGGTTGTTATAATAGAGGAGACCCGGTCTAGTTAGCTTAAGGGGTGTGTTGTCGGTCACATGTGCTATATTTGTATATTTGCAAGAGAAACAGTGGAAACGAGATCGCAAAATATTTCTTTTAGAACAGATAGATATTCCCTGAGTTTCAAAATTATATAAAATCAAGACAATATTAAAAAATAGTAAAGTTAGAAAGTAGAAAATTGATTCAGGAGCAGTCAAGAGAACATTTTCGTGCGCCTCGAAATTTGGTATTAATATTTTCTATCGTGAGAGTGAATAAATTTAAATAATGTGTTACTAATTAAAATGAAGTTTCCTGCAGACCAATAGAAGACTAATGAAGAGCAAGATAAAAAGTATATATTTCAAGCTACATTTATTTATTGCATCTTTAGTAATTTAATTATTAGTTAGGCTTTTACGGAATTAATAGAAATCAGCGTGGTAGCCAATGTGATAACACACTGAATGGCGCGACGATGCCTGGCACTGTGATACATTGGCTCATTAAGTTATCTATGAATTATAATTAATTGCACTTGAAAAATCGATCGTGCGGCCAATGAAGAGCCAATGAAACGAGGTAGAAGGTGCATACATCTCGAATTACGTTTATTTACTATAGTCATGATTCAACGATGAGCTAGGCTTTTGTACGTAATCAGCGTAATCAGCGGAAATCAGCGCCGCAGTCAACGCGCTGATCATTAATTTCGCGAATCAGACGCGCCCCGCTGACAAACCGATCGCGCGTAATCGGCGCATTCCGGACGTTGGTTTCTCACGCGAGAAATTGATCGCGGCGCGCGCTCGTGCTCACACGGCGAATCTTGCGAGCTGCGAAATAACGGCTGATTTAATCTGCTTTGCAGATATCGGGCCATGGCGGTGCTGCTGGAGGCGAGGTCGTACAGGCCGTTCAGGTCCTCGGACGAGTACTTGCTGGCGATGAAGGAGGATCTGGCGGAGTGGCTGAACGCGCTCTACCCGGAGCTCCGGATCAACATTGACAATTTTATGGACAGACTGGACACCGGCGTCGCGCTGTGCAAGGTGAGTGATCTCGCGGCGATTCGCCGTTGGACTGTTACTGACGCGGAAACGCGATTATCCGCGGCGTTAAGCGCTCGCACTGGTCGTAACGAGGCGATCCTTATCGCGCCCGCTCGCTGTCATCGTCAAAAAATCCCCCGATCGAGATATCCATTGACCCCTTTCCTCGAACACGATTGTCACGTTCTCTCTTGGCCGTTCCGCGTCTATTTTCTCGCCGGCTCGCTAACATCCGCCTGTACACGGTGTCGCGAAAGTACAATTACGTAGATTAATCATGTCGTTGGCTTTTTTGGAAGTCATAAAGTTAATTCCTTTCTTTTGTTCTTTCTCTCTCTTTCGCGAAAGAGTTTTGCAAAATTAACGATAAATGAGCTTGAAAAGCTGGAAGGAGTTCGTATTAGATGAATTTTGTACAAGAAAATCTCTTCACTACACGTGGAGAGAATTTTGTAATAAAAATTACTGTAAAATTTTCGTGATCGAGGAATACATGGATATTCTGCAGTAATTGACTATTCTTTTGTCTCATATGTGTTTCTTATATGTATTTTAAAAATTAAATGTGTTATAATAAAAGCTATATAGCTATATACAGAGTGTTTCATGACGAATTGCTCTTTAAGCGGTATTTACAATGAGAATTTAAGCCATAGCTAAAGCTTAAGCTTTAAGCCTGAAGTCTTATGATTCTCATTTAGAATTAAGTTCTCATTTAGACATTGCTTTAGTGAGATTAACGTTACTGACAGTCTATTGTTACGCTACTAAAATTATAGTAAAAAATTAGAAAGAATTTGAAAAAATTATGAAAAAAAGAACTAATATTTTTTCCGTGCGAAAATAAATTCTTGAAAATTTGATCTCTTGTCGACACTCATGCGACACGAGCGCACGCACTAATAAAGAAAGTTGCACGTGTGCATCGTGACGAGCAGGAAGAAGGATGTGTGTGACGTCCAGCGGAAGTACTTCGTCCTGCGTGGCGTGAATTACGAATAGTCTTGATGCGCGTAGGGAGAGCGAAGCCGAAGAGTTTAAAAGAGGAACACGAGGGAACGCGGAGATACTTCAAATTGATCTTCATTTGATTTTGTTAAACGACAATCGAGAACGTTATTAATTATTCAATGAACAATGATCTTGCCGTTTGTTTAAATTTTTGCTTAAATTTGTCTTCCGTCAAATCGCGGGGATGCAATATACCCCGCAATGTCGTCGCGATATTCTCTTTTTCTTTCCTCAAATACATATTCCGGCGAGACGTACGATATAGTGGTGAATATAAACGTCCATCTAGATTAAGCTAAAATTACTTTCGCGCGCGCGCATTTTTTTCTGTCGATAAACACGGCGAGCAAGAAGTACATGTTAAAATCGCCGGCTTTTATTGACACGGTGTCGAAACAGCATGCGTACAACCTGTATCTCCCACACTCGCACGCCACTCGACTGCGACGGATAGAGTAGTCACTCGCGTGACCGATCGGCTGTCGACGGTGTACACGGTCAGCTTATTAGCTCTGGCATTATTAAAGCAATTTTAACGAGTCATTAAGAATGCGGCATAATTAGAACGTTTAATGGAAAAAAAAGGAAGGAGAAAAACGCGGGGCATACAATGAGTGATGGTTTAATTATCCGATTAATGCGGCCGGGGCGATCGCGAGTCTCTCCCGCTCTCGCTGCGCGACCACATGAGAATCGCGACCGTCAGTCTGCGTGTAATCACACGCCGAGATATAAGTGACGTCCCCGATATATATACGACGACGGCGGAACACGCCGTGGTCACGAATATTATATCGGCTATATATACAGTTCATTACGCGCGACGAAAACGCAAACGACCCGTCGTCAGTGCGGAGACGCAGACTCGTTATTAACGTGCCAATTAAGATCTGGAATACTTAAGAACGACTCTTCTTGTAGTATCGTGTCAGTCTAAAAGTCGAATAATGATGGGAGTCAAACTGAAAAAGATATGCGACAAAGTCGGACGGATGTATCTCACTGAGACAGTAATAGAACTGTGAAATTCGTAACATTTTGCTCAGCGTGTGATTCATCGAAAATCTTTGGACAATCAACACAGGTTCGGTTTAAGTAGATTTGACTTGATCGCATACAGTGGTGACAAATTATTCATCACGAATCGAATTTGACACGATGCCGATAAGCTAGAGTCTATGTTGTTCTTTTTGCGACCGAAATGGAGTCGTCGTAATTCTCCGATTCCTTTTTCCGGCTGTCATTTCGCGGCACGACGCTACCGCCGTAATGTTTCTCCGGGAACGATCGATCGCGATCGAGTGCGGATCGAGGAATGGCTCGCGTGCCGGCGGATCGACGAGCGACCGGACTCCAGTCGACTTTCACTGATCTACGACGACGATCCGCCGTGGCCGGGCGCTACTCGGCTCGAGTAGACTCGGCCGCGCTCCGCGAAACGAGCTCCATTCATCGCCACGGGCCCTGTCTCGCGCGCGTGCGCGGGCCCATAATGCCCACCGGACTCACGAGCGAGCGAGCGAGCCGATTGGCGCGGCGCGGCGCGGCGCGACGCTCGTATAATGCCGGGATATCGACCGGGGTCCGTGCTCGTTATTAGCGGCGGCGCGCCGTCGTCGTTATAAATTTATGCCAGAGAAATATTTAGAGTAGGCAGAACGATAAAACCGCGCGCGGCGGCTTGCGAGGTGCGTGCGCTCCCCATTGCGAGCGCCAGCGCGGAGAAAGTCACCGGCTCATCGGGTATGCGCTTAAAGCTCGATTCAGACCGCGGTGGGGCTGATTCGCGCTCGCTCGATCTTATCGTTCATACCGAATATATTGCGCCTATATATTGTTGCGCGGCTGTTGCCGAGAGAAAAATTGGAAGAAAACTAAAAATACAATACGATAGTAAATAAGAAGATTGATGTTACTCAGCGCGGCCATCTTGACTTATAACATCAGAAGAGCGAGGAAATGTATACCCAAAATTTCCACAAGATAATACAAAGATATACTAAGAAAATGTCATTCTAGTCGATTAAGCCGATCTCTAAAATATTGCAGACACTTTCTCTATTTGCTCTAACAATCAATAAATAATATTGTAAAATTAACGTGAGAAAATAATGAGGAAATGTAAATCAAAAAGGAAGGTTGCATGTCACGTTATTTTAAGCTTTATTTACGCTCTAGACGTGCACGGCGCTCTAGTCTGAATCCGGCTTAAGGATTACGGCCTTAGCGGATCTCGAGGTGAGGTTCTGGAATTTCTTACCTGTGGCAGGGGGTAGATTGGGTTGCAGCAGTCGGAAGAGAGCAGGAGGGAGAGGGATGGGGGGAAAGAGCGCTTTTGCATATATCGACTTTACGAGCCGTGACGAGTGGCGAGGCGGGGAACATAATAAGGTACGCGACCAACGGCGATAAGGAACCCCAGTGCTCTCGATACCGGCACTTCTGTGGGCTCTCTCGCGTTTTTCTTTCTCTTCTCCATCGTTCGTGGAGAATTTTTACAGACCAAGCCGCGCAGACGGGTGCAAGGGTGGGGCGTGATTTTTTAAGGAAAAGCCGTTTATGGCGGGGGTGACGCGCAAAGCGACCTCTGCAATACGCATAGCCTATTGCGCAGAACGCAACCGTGGGATCGAGAGCCATTCGAGAGGCTGCTCGATTTTTTCTCCTCTCTTCCAGTAAGATAAAACTCGTTCACGACACAGACAGTGTGATAAAAATTGCCGTATAACTTTGTACAACGCACGTGTCATTTTCGTGAGCAAATTGATTCAAGTGAGAGCTACAGGGAAATTTCTTTTTTGGGAACTTTTATTACATTAAGTTATATTTATAACCCCTATTTCTCTCTTTCTCACATACATACATGACATCCGTGTTTTGAGTACTTTAACTGGTATATTGAGATCATTTTGGTCTTCATTTACATCCTATAAAATCGCTAACAAAAATTTATAAAATATAATAGATACTTTCAAGTTTATAGAATCCAATTATATATAGAAATTATCAAAATATTGACTTAAGCATCTTTTATTTTATCGTAAATATAAAGAAAAACACGGTGAAAACGTGAGTTTACATAAATATTTCTAACTCTTCTGAAAACGAACTTTAACGAAAAATTAATATTCTAGGATTTTCTTGTGTATGTGTGTCAATATAATATTTGAATTAAAAACAAGACATTACATATCTCAATTTGTTAAAAAGTGTAATTATTTGTATATATATAAAAATACATCATTTTTTCAGTTAAGAGGTGAATACAATAATTAATTGTTTCAAGCTTTTGCAATATTAATTTATTATATATATATAAGGTGGGTTTTTTTATTAAAATTATTACAAAGATTAGCTATATTTGAATCTGTTTTGTTCGTGATTAGAATTTGACAATACAAACATTTTGATCACGTATAATATAGCTAAAAATAAATAAGCTATTTACAGAATATTTTTTTTTATATATATTATATTTAATGTAATTAAAGATAACAAAAAATAATTTTTATTTTACATTTTTATTTTACACTTTGACATCTTATTTTGACACACTGGAGCAAAAAATAATCTCAGTAGCATTTTTGCCTTTTTGTTATATGACATTGTTATAAACCTTATATTGCCACTAACTGTGTTTTTCTTAGCGCGTAAATCGAAAGTTGCAAAGAATCCTCATTCCACTAGTTTGTAGATAATTCAGAATTAAAAATCGAGTGTCAAAAATGACCTCAATGTGTCACATTAGGGTTATTAGACGAAGGCCGTCGATCTCGTTCTGTCGAGGACAAAATCAGTCACCATAACAAAAAAATGATGTGCTATTCATACCCGAGGAATTTACATCACCGGCCAGTGCCGAACCCTGACGCTAAGAATGAATTCGCGGCGACATCAATTCAATTTTGCGATCGCACACAAGATCGGAAAGTGACTCTCTTCCGCTCTCACACTCGTGCGAAAATAAACGTGACAGCGCGTGTCGCGAA